CAGGCGTGCCTGGGCTGCCCCTCCGGGGCTTTGCTTCGCGTCTTCCTGGTCTGCAGACCAGGGAGACGCGGAGCAGCTTTTCTCGCTCGGAGTACACGGGCGGCGGGACCGCGAGGTCCCGCAGTCCGTGTACTCCGGGGCAGCCCCGTTCGTAACTGCGGATCCGACGTAAGTCGGATCCGCGTAAGTCGGGGACTGCCTGTAATGCTGTATATAACTGTTATACATATAAATATCATCTCCCTTCCTGAACCCCATCACATTCTTGGCCTCCGTGGTGTTTAATGCACTGTATGAGGCAGTATTTCACTTGATCAGTTTTAAGTATGTAGCAATCCAGTTTCATTTAAAATTCACTGTTCTTGCAAGAAAGATAAAACAAAATGCCTGATCTACCTTCTCTCTGCTGTTCTTTATTCTACATACCATTGAGATACTGTCAGTTATCCAAGTCTTTTCAAACACTTTTCTTATGATATTGTCCTATACCTAGTCTTCATTTTTGTGGCCTTTCTTCACACCTCCATGGTTTCTGTCATCTCCTTTTAAGACAAGTGATCTGAAAGGAATATAAAATAATACTGGTTTGTATCATATTTTCAGGATTATTTTCCATCCTATTCCTTATGCATCCTAACATTTTTTGACTGCCACTGCACATATTGAAGAAATTATGGGATGATGGTTTTTGTAAACACTAGGCCACTATTATTTTTAAAACAAACTCTACCTTTTCTCATGTTTTCCAAGCATGCACCCAAGTGAGTGTCAATTTTTTGCTCTTATTGCTTGAAACACAGCTTAGGCATGCCCTGTTTGACAGGAAGTACAAACTTCAGTATTGCAGATGGTTCTCCACGGATGATTCACAAACACAGCTCCCAGTTCAAACACAAAATAGAGGGAACACAAAATAACTAACAATGTCGATGCAGATCAAGGGGACCACCACATTAAGGGATAAAAGATTAATATTTGAATAAAGCTTAAGCAGAAAGAATAA